AATCATTTAATTTGTTTAATATCTATATATATGTATCTATATCTATATCTATATAATAAAGTAGAACGAATTTAAATTTTGGAGACAAAGAATGGTCTAGATTGTTTCGTGACAAAAAAAAAAAACCATTTAACGGACGACGTTATCTTTAACTGTCTTGAGCTATTGACGTCTCAAATCGTTTTGATCCGACGTACTACATTAACTCTTTTGAAATATTTTTGCTGCTCAAAATTTATAATTTTCAAAATTGATATTCCAAAATTTAATTCTTTCAAATTTTTTCTTGAAATCAAACAAATCTCTCTCTCTCTCTTATTCCACAATATTTTCCTTTGTATCTCTCTCTATATTTCACAAAAATATTAGATAGTGTTTGATTTAAACAAATACTACATCTTTCTATAGATAGATAGTTTATATTACAGAGAAATATAGTATATTACGAAAATATTCATCTGTATCTCCCTTTGAAGGAAAATTATTTAATAAATATTAGATAGATAATATATATCACGAAAATATTCTTCTGTATCTCTTTCTTTCATTCAAACAATATTACAAATACGAATCATACAAATTTAATAGTCAATTTTATTTTTTTCCATAGTCAATAAAAAAAAAAGCATAACTTGTAAAAAATCTAATTTAACAAAGAAAAAATGCTTAACATGTAAAGTATACAATATTAAATTCAATGTATTGGGTAACTCATATATCAAGAGATATATTAAAGAAAATATGTTTAACATTTAAAATATATAAGATTAAATTCATATACAAATACGAATCATACAAATTCAATATTTAGTGAACAATACAAAACAACAATATTTATTAAATAATTCAAATCTAAATACCCAAGAAAAATGATACAAAATTACAAGCGAGAGAAACGATACAAAATTATAAACAATTCTATGAACTCGAATTATACAAATTTAATATTTAATGAACAACACGAAATAACAATCTTTACTAAATAATCTAATATTAAATAACGTTTAGTTTAAGAAAATATACTAAGAATATAAATAATTCAAAAAAATGCTAAAAAATTAAAAGCATTATTATAAACTCGAATTATACAAATTAAATAGTCAATTTTATTTTTTTCATAATCAATAAAAAACATAACTTACAAAAAATCTTATTTAACAAATAAAATATGCTTAACATGTAAAATATATAAGATTAAATTCAAGTTATTGGGCAACTCAGATATCAAGAGATATATTAAATAAATTATACTTAAGATTTATAATATACAAGATTAAATTCATATAAAAATACGAATCATATAAATTCAATATTTAATGAACAACACAAAGTAACAATATTTACTAAATAATCCAAATTTAAATACTCAAAAAAAATGATACAAAATTATAAGCAATATTATGAAAACGAATCATACAAATTTAATATTTAGTGAACAACACGAAGTAACAATCTTTACTGAATAATTCAATACTAAATAACGTTTAATTTAAGAAAATATATTAATAATATATATAACCGAGAAGAATGAAATAAAATTAAAAACACTACTATAAACTCGAATCATACAAATTCAATAGTCATGTCGTATCTTTTGGAATTCGGTTGAATTTCTAATAGTTATATTTGGTTATTTGACAACATTTGTAGACTTCGTTTATTTGTGGGAGTATTGTTATAATTTTCATTCTATTAGTTATGAATTCTATTATTATTTATATAATTTAGAAGTTTGAATTATTATGTTTAAGTAGCTATAACTTAATTTTCGTAACGTAACAATTTAATGTGATGCATGTAGGTTGACGTGATAAAAAATATTAGCGGACTCATTTTGTTCATTGTTTACTACAATGTTGTATTTTATTTTATATTTATGTATGAGTAAATATTTATAACTAATTTACGAGTAATACCGTGCCTTCAAACACGGATAATTACTAGTATATATATATTTTTAATCAAATTGTATACAAGTATATGCAAATCTAAATTCGTATTATATAAGATAACAAATTTGCATTTAGGTTCTGATTACCCAGTAAAAAACATCAGTAGTAACAAACGATTGCTAGCACATCTCCGGCATATCGTAGAAACAACGCATCAGATCAGAGGAGAGAGATGGCCACGTTTTGTATTATTAACCTTTTGTGCGAGAGTAACAAACAAAGCTAAAGAAGATAAACTCCCATACAGATTGGATCGGCAAGAAGAAGTGTCAGCGCCAATGCCTTCTTCCATCCTCGAGATCTCTACATCTTCCTTGCCATCGATCTTTGTTGTCATTGCTGAGAGGAAAATTACTATAAAAANTTAAAAAAATTAGAAAAATTACACCTAGACCTCCTGAGGTTTGTCATTTAATTATTCAATCTCCTGATATTTAAAATATTACATATAAACTCCCTGATATTGTAAAAGCATAACACTTAAACATTTGTCGTCAATTTCCGTCAGTAAATAACAGTCAGATCCCTTAAAATTTGTATACATATAATACTTAGACCCCTTAAATTTAAAATGTTATACTTACACAAAAAATGTTTCAATTAAAGATGGAATATCAACTATTTTAAAACTTACAACTAAAATTTATATTCTATTATGTCATTTATTGAAATAAAAATCTAATTTATTTTTTAAATCATAATTAGTATACAATTATAAATATCTTGGATAATAAATTACGTTTTTAGACAAAATTGAAACAATAGATTAGGCCTAAATAGCGTTGCAATTGTTTATGATAGTGAGTGTTTACTTAGAGAATTGAAATCATTCTTAAGGTGAGAGTTAAGAATTTAATTATTTTTAATTATAGATCNTCATAGTGAGTGTTTACTTAGAGAATTGAAATCATTCTTAAGGTGAGAGTTAAGAATTTAATTATTTTTAATTATAGATCATCCATAAGAAATTTAAGAACGATTCAAGATATCTAAATATGTCTACCAATACACAGAATTAGATGTCTTATCAACTTCATACAATCAATTCTAATTTAATTTTTTTGGTAAAACGACCCTTGTGACATCAAAGGACTTGAAAACTACGAGTTTCTAAGACCCTGCAAATCCATTCATAGAGTAGGTCAGATGTAATATCTCTTGATTCAACGGTCACAATAATTTGATATTTGAGCATGAGATCATTGATGAGAGCATTCAAATTGAAAATGAAAATGATAAGGATGTTTATGGGCAGATGGGTAAGGATAAAAGTCTTTTCCTGAAGAAGAATTTATCAGACAATTTTTTTTTTAGTTTGACGGTTAAGAATGGTCGGCTCAAGTTATGCGAATCTCAACTAATTCTTTCGTCAATTTGGTTAAAGGTAGATCATCCATGTCGGGACTAGAAAATTTACGAAAAATAAATTTCTCATAATTTAATTTCAAAAAATTAACAAAATTTAAACTCATGACGTCTAAATTTACAACTCGTCTCTATTACCAATTTAACTACTCAATATACTAGACAATGAATTTTCAACAACAATGGTAAGTTTGATAATTATAAATGTTTTTGTGCTAAGTGATTGATAGTGGTAGGAACCAACCATATGGCATCTTGAAATTTGTACGGCATTGCTATCATTTTATCCTTCAAATTTATGTAGAAAATTATTATTATTGTGAAATTTGTTGGTATGCAAGATTTATTTTCTCAGTTGAAAAATCATTAGGAAACAACTAATTTTGGATTTCGTTCTTACAATTTTCTTGCAAAATTCTTATTCTAATAAAAAAAAATACATTTGAGCAAATTTTAATTACCACTCACTTTCCTTTCATTCACATCACAGTTTTTTCTATTATTTTTTCTTCTTTTTAATCAAACGAATCCATTGAGCAAAACCGAGGAAAAGTCCCTGCAAAATCATGGTAGAAAGAAGACCAATTCCTAGTTTTTGCACCAATTGTTTCTTCCTTGCTGAATTTTCCTTAATGGCCTCCTTGCCTAACACTAATAGGAAAAAACAACCCTTTTCAACCTTCAAAGTAATACTTACCCACCTCACAAGTCTTCTTGGCGTTAGGTCACCTATGACCTANGGCCTCCTTGCCTAACACTAATAGGAAAAAACAACCCTTTTCAACCTTAAAAGTAATACTTACCCACCTCACAAGTCTTCTTGGCGTTAGGTCACCTATGACCTACCTAACTTGCTTTCCATGAGGAAATATTCCCATTTATATTCTTAATCAAAGAAACGAGGATGAGTAGTCAAGCTTGGGAACATTTTTTTCTCCCAACGATTAAGGGTGTCCAAACCAACTTACGCGTACATCGACCAATTCTTTTTCTGATCCGGCCAAAGACAGTTAATCCACATCGAAACTAAGGTATTCAATGAGGGAGAAATCCCTCGTACCCTAGTCCTAAAGATCACTATTACCACTTGACAATCATATGAAAAAGCAAAGATCAATTTAGAAAANTTCTCTCAACGATTAAGGATGTCCAAGCCAACTTACGCGTACATCAACCAATCCCTTTTCTGATCCGGCCAAAGACAATTAATCCACACCGAAACTAAGGTATTCAATGAGGGAGAAATCCCTCGTACCCTAGTCCTGAAGATCACTATTACCACTTGACAATCATATGAAAAAGCAAAGATCAATTTAGAAAACAACAGAAAGATGTTGCCTCCATATCCAACAAACTTGAACCATAAGCTACCCTTCATCACTAAAACATATGCTGACATAATGGAACTAAGAGTCTTGTATGCCATATGACTTAAACCATGGGTTGAATCTGCAAATATCTTACCAATTTCCAAAAAAAAAGAGGTTCNACCTTGAACCATAAGCTACCCTTCATCACTAAAACATATGCTGACATAATGGAACTAAGAGCCTTGTATGCCATATGACTTAAACCATGGGTTGAATCTGCAAATATCTTACCAATTTCCAAAAAAAAAGAGGTTCAAATTGGTCTAATTTTACTAAAAATTGACATACCCTTACTTTAGCCAGAACAAAAAATGATATCTTATTGACAAATTGAGCAAATACAGGAACTGAAAAATCTGTTCCAGAAAATGAGCCATAAACTACTGGAAGTTCACCTCCGATAATATAATTTCTTTATTTCAAACAAAGAAAAGAAAAAAGTTTACAGATTGTATCGCATTCAACACACAAGTTATAACAAAAACCAGCTGCAAAAACTATTCTATCAGCCTAAAAAAATTCGAGTTTATTGACACTTACCAGTCACCCGGTACCATCAAAAAGGCCTGGACTGGCATTCCTTACTATTTATCTTTCTCTTTTTTTTTCCCTGATAAAGAAAATCTTATCTCACAAAGCCTATAATTATAAGGAACAAACAGAGATAACAACAGGGAAATCAATAGATGAACCCTGACGATCATTTTGAAGGAACTTCAGAAGTGCAACTAGTGATAGGCAGATCTGCTGGAGTGCATACCAGAGCCCTTTGCTGTAAATGTCTCAAACTCTGTTCCATGCTAACTTGAACCATCTCGGATAGCATCTTCTTTGCTTTCCCTGATTGATCCTCGCCTTCAATCTGCGACATAATATTGCACACAATATTCTCTATCGTGTCAGGTTGAAGGTCAGATCTTGGGTAAGGAGAGTCTCTGAGTAACCGTAGGAGAGTTTGTGCTTTTGACTGAGACTTAGGTGTTCCTTGAACCGTGAGCTCAAGAAGACCAGGGATTACACCTTCTCTAAGAATTGGTTCCCTATATTTACATCGGTCACTCTGACACATAGTCAGAAGTGCACCAACTGCATTTTCCCGGCTCTGAAGAGACCCACTCTCGAGAACCTCTACTACTGCAAGCACTCCACCTTCTTCAGATGTCAATGCAGTTCTGCCCTCGTCATAATTAATGAAAGACTCAATAAGGGCACTACATTTTTCAGCTGTTTTTGAAGACTTTTTACAGGTTTTAAGCAAGTTAACAATGGAAGGAATAGGTTCTGCTTGAAGAATCAAGCTAAGATTGCCTGGGTGAGTTGAGAGATTGTATAGAGCCATTACAGCATCAACCTTGGCTTGTGGGCTCCCATGTCCAAGGACTTTCACAAGGAGAGGGATTGCACCAGAAGCACTTATGATTGGTTTGTTGACAGAGGAAGCAGATAGCGTTAGCAAAGATACAGTTGCATGCTCCTGCAGATTCGAGTTCTCTGACTGAAGAAAACTGATGATTGGTTCTAGTGCACCAGCCTCTACAATACTAGTTTTATTTCTGCAAGCAAAAGAAGGGAAAACATAGAAAGTTTTGAGTGAGTTATATTCTTCACACCTTCGCATAAACAAGGGAATTTAATTGTGTACACATTCTGCTGCGAAGCTAAGGAATTAAGGTTTAAACCCTCAATTCTACATCATATNCAAAAGAAGGGAAAACATAGAAAGTTTTGAGTGAGTTATATTCTTCACACCTTCGCATAAACAAGGGAATTTAATTGTGTATACATTCTGCTGCGAAGCTAAGGAATTAAGGTTTAAACCCTCAATTCTACATCATATAACTAGAAACACATAGCCATGATAAAAGAGGCGAAAAGAAACAAAATGTTGGCTAACATAACTGCTCAGTCTCAAGCAATTATGTAAAGAAACATCAATCCTTACTCCCATTCAACATCCTAAGCAATTATATCTTCTATCCAATGTCTAATCATTTGGACGGCCCACTAATTCTCCCTTCTTTAGGGGTGTTTGTTCTCATAGCTACAACTACCCATCCATTCAACTAGCTTCAAATGGAAAAAATCTTTGCTTTACAGCCTCTTATGGAAAATCGATGCATNGTCTAATCATTTGGACGGCCCACTAATTCTCCCTTCTTTAGGGGTGTTTGTTCTCATAGCTACAACTACCCATCCATTCAAGTAGCTTCAAATGGAAAAAATCTTTGCTTTACAGCCTCTTATGGAAAATCGATGCATNTAGGGGTGTACATTGATACAAATTTATATCTTTGAGTTTGCAAATTGAAAATTTTTATCTTTGGAGGTGCACATTGATATAAATTTTTATCTTTCAGGATACAAATTAAAATTTTTAATCTTTGGGGGTGCATATTGATACAAATTTCTATATTTAATGGTAAAAATTGAGATTTTTGATCTTTGAAGATAAAAATTGAGATTTAAACAATCTTTCGAAATGTAATTTTCGATAAACCCTTTTTTTGGGCTTAAGGTTGTTTTGTGCTTTTGTGGAGTAGGATAGAAAAGTTTATTTACATTCAATNATCAAAGAATTCACAATTCTATACAAAATAACAAATAAATTGACTTTTTTTAGACTTTCAGATTTCATTAAGCATTGGACTATGGACTTCCAAATATTTTGTAGACAAACACAATTTATTTACTACTAATGAAAGGTGAACAATGTCATAAGTAAGAGAAGAGTCACACATTTAAATTTTCTCTTAACACAAAGTGCAATCATCACATAATCTAATAAACATTAATCAAACCAGTTGTTCGTTGCATTAGACAAGTACCATGTCCACAACAACAAGATGGGTGCAAGAACAGATATTTGTTGCGAAAATGGGTATCAATCTAGACTCTGTGGNCAAGTACCATGTCCACAACAAGAAGATGGGTGCAAGAACAGATATTTGTTGCGAAAATGGGTATCAATCTAGACTCTGTGGAAACGGAGTTTCCTAAACCAGCCTTTACAGACTTTGGCTACAATGTTCAGCAACAAGAATCACAAAGTATTCTGCGCTCATAACATAATGGGATTGAGGTTCTGAATTGTGGCTGTGAAAAGGCAGGTTTGAGCAGCATTAGTTCCCACAGCAGCCAGCCCATAGTGTGACTTGCCTTGATCATGACATCCCAAGCCGTTTAAGGTCATCTATCTCAGAGGTTAAGGGGGTCATTGCCCAACTAATTGGAGGAAATTCTGGTTCTGCATAAATACCAATTTCATATACACATGGACCAAAAGAAGCTCAATAATGCCGATTCTAATTGAAGTGAGACTAAAGGTAGACTCACAAAATTTCTAAAAACCAGCAATCCCAATTAGCTGATCTTTCTTTCTTGCATAATTCCATACGCTGACAAAATAGGAATATTAATAGAGCTCCAATCCTTTAGAGTACTATACTAATTTCACCATCATCAATACCAGATTAAAACAATGTTTCAGTTTTTAGAAGAAGAAAACAGAATTACTTTCTGGCCAAACAGAATCCAATCCATGTGATGGCATACTTTATAAGATAAAAGATAAAGGGAAAAGTAAAACAATCAGATTAAAAAAAGAAGCGTAACATGTCAACAAAAGAACAGCCCCACCTTCAAAACCTAACCAATCACAACCATAAAGCAATTGTTCTCTGCATCAATATGCCTCCAATTTCTTAGAACATTCACATGTTAAGCTTTTAAAACTTATCTTATTATCACAAATATGATCAGAACATGTATAATTAAATTCCAATAGAGCAAAATTCAACAATTATCATATTTCTTTCCCAGCTGTTTCAAGTCCCCACACTTCCTAATTACTTCTTTTTACAGTTCTGATCAAGCAGAGATCATTTGATTTCGTTTGATTGCTGACAACCTAAGGAAGAAAATACTTTTAGTAAAAACTATAATGGGTTGATTCCAAATCAACTATATGGGATTACCCCAACAACAAAAACTCAAATCTTGTAATTCTACTACTTTCTTCTCTCTTCCCTAGTTCCTTCCTCCTCTTTTTCTCAGCAACCAAAGAAAAGAAAGAAAAGACAATAGAATACTATTGTTTTCTTTTCCCAATTACTGAATCCGAGGCAAAAGATATAAAGAAGAAAAAAGCAAGAAAGCGACGGAAAGAAAAAGCCAAAAACACCCACAAATTTTTCAGAATAAAATGCAAAAAAAAAAAAAAATCAAAATATGAATTCTTCGCAGATTTCAACAAAAGCAGGAGAATTGACCGTCGTCACAATTCCGGCTTAGGTAATTCAACTTTAATAAACTAAGATGTAAACACACTTACGTTTCGTCCTTGACTGCGAGGTTGAGGAGGGCGAGGAGAGCTGCCTCGTTGGACTCAAAGGAGTCGTAACTGAGCATGTCGACAAGCGGTTTTACGGCAGCTGAGAATTGACGGCGATACCGTTGGGAGGTCTTGGTGAGCCGCCGGATCTCTCCCGCGGCCTTAATTTTCAAGTTTGGGTCATCGGATTGGATGAGGTGGAGCGTTTGCTGGACGGCGGACGAAGTCCGAGGAATATCCTTGTCGGGACTCGTGCCGGTGGTGGTTAAGTAGCTCTCCGAGTCCATTTCGTAGTGTTATCGAGTAGGTGCGAGAGCGAGAGCGAGAGCGAGAGAGAGAAAGAGAAAATATCTGAGTGGGAGGATTTAAAGGAGCGTTTGTTTGTTTGATTGTGGGTGAGAGAGAGAAAGAGAGAAACGTAAGGTTGAGAGGAAACGTGGGGGAGGGCAGTGGTGCGGTGGAGTTAAGTAACAGTTATTTGGGCTTTTCAACGGCTTTTGCTTCGTTTGACAGTTGGTCTTAGGAGGAAAGTGAGACTGGGGTTTCGGTGAAAACTGTCTTATCCAAAATAAGATAGATTACGTTGGAAAGTTTAGTATTATCGGCTCCACGACCCGTCCAAAACATATTTTTTTAATTTTTTTCTTGACATACTATCTTTAATATAAAATAAAATATAATTTAATAAATTCGTTCGACAATTTAAAATAAATTCATCCAACGGTTATTAACATCTGTCTCAAAATTATTCATATTGAATCATATTATCAAGTACGAATTATCCCTACTTATCATTAATGAGTGAAAAATCTATTATTAATGGGTAAAAAATTCATTTATATAATAAGTTTTACTTGAATAGATGAATAATGATGTGTCAATAAGAGAATTTAAAAAAAAGTGTATTAGAGATGATCTCAATCCAATATTATGCTGCCAAAAAAGTGTATGATGAGATCTACGATCCATTCAATACACTTTTTGAAATTCTCATCTTAGCACATTATTTATCTTTAATGAGTAAAAGATCTATTATTGATAAGTGAAGGACCTACTTATATAATGGATATCACTTGAATAAATGGTAACTAATGTGTTAATAAGAGAATTGAAGGGAAAATATATTGGAGAGTATTTCACTATAATAATATGTTACCAAAAATATGAGTATAATATTAAAAATTATTAATTTTCAATGTAATGACATTACTTTTAAAAATAAAATTACAATTAATTCATGATCAATCATAAATATTGTGATTGATTATTAATTTCGTAAATTAGTTATAATTTCTTGTTATGAGAAAATAATGTTTTTAAAACTTTTTTAAAAAAAATTTAAATGAATGGTACTTAAGGGAGTGAGATCGCATCCGATACATTTTTTCTTTAATTCTTTTCTAATCACATCATCTATTCAAATGAGTTTCATTGTATACAAGTGAGTCATTCACTCATTAATTATGGATAATATGTCAACAAAAAAATTAAAGAAAATATATATTGGAGGGAATTTAAATCCGTAGGTAAGGAGTGTAAAAGTTATATGAAACATATATTAGAATATAATTGGTTAAAATTATGTGTAATAATTAAAAAATTGAATCTAAGAAAGTGGGATAGAAAGGTTTTCAGGCTACTCCCACCTAATTTAATTGTTGTAAAATCACGAAAAAGTCAAAATTAAGAAATACGCACAGTACAATCAAGATTTAGGTTTTTGATATTACATGATAGTAAGACTAGAGCAACATCATGATTCAATTGTTATATTTTACCTTTTTAAAATTTGGCTTTTTTTCATTTAAATTTAGATTTTTTATAGGACAAATCTGTACTAAATCAAACTTTTTATCATTTTTTTACTCAAATTTAAATAAAAATTTAAGTTTTCATTGAAGATAGTCTAAAAGAAAGTTTTTATTTCAACAGTGATACCATGTGACAAGGTGATGTGATATGACTAATTAAAAATATTAAAACAAATAAGCAGATAACTTCCGTAAAAATTAATAACTAACTTGTCATATAAGTAAATAACTATCTATTCTTCTATTATATAAGTTTTACCCATTTATAATTTTATTATTAATTATTGATATCATATTATCAATAGTGACATAATACTATGGTTACATTTAATATTTACTCATGGTGGGGATAGGTAAAAAAATAAATTAGAGTGCCAAGTTGATAACCGGCCGACATCAACGGACAAATATCCCACGTAGAAAACACTAACTAAATCCACGACTTAAACCTGCTGTTCTACGGTTTGGGTCAAAGAATTCTGGCAGCCTAGCTTTACTACGACCATTTAATTTTATTCTTTTTTGGGTTAATTGTAAATTATACATTAAAAGATCATTCGAATTTTAATTTGTATCTTCAAAGATAAAAATTTATGTTAATGAGCACCCTCAAAAATTAAAAATCTCAATTTGTACCCTCAAAGATAGAAATTTGTATTAATGTGCACCTCCAAAGATCAAAAATCTCAATTTACACCATCAAAAATAAAAATTTGTATCGATATGCACCTAAAACTTACCGCCTTTAGTTTGCTACCTAAAATTAAATTGTTAAATTATGCCTAAATCTCATCATGCTTATCACTTAATTAATTGAACCTCTTCACATTTATAATATTAATCTTACATCTCATGACATTTGTGCACGTATAACACGTAACCCTTTTTAATTGATATCTATTAATATAACCGTTAAAAAATATTTTTTTATCTTAATAAAAAATTATAATTTCATATTACCCTTTATTTTATGGGTTCGATATTTCTAAAATTCAAAATCAAATTTACTATTTGAATGTCCAATAAAATGTAGGTATTTATATAATATTTTTTATATTCAATGCAATATATCACTTAAACATAATTATTTGAATGCCTAATTGGGGGGACATTTTAGATTGAGAGTATTTTTATTAGGATTTTATAACCATTAAAAAATATGATTTTATCCTAATAAAAAATTATAATTTCATATTAACCTTTATTTTGTGAAGGGGTCCAAATGATTAAGTGACAAGCATGATGGGATCTAGGTATAATTTATTAATTTAGTTTCAGGCAGCAAATTGACGATAGTTAGTTTTAGGTGCACATTGATACAATTTTATATCTTTAAGGGTATAAATTGAGATTTTTGATCTTTAGGGGTGTACATTGATACAAATTTATATCTTTGAGTTTGCAAATTGAAAATTTTTATCTTTGGAGGTGCACATTGATATAAATTTTTATCTTTCAGGATACAAATTAAAATTTTTAATCTTTGGGGGTGCATATTGATACAAATTTCTATATTTAATGGTAAAAATTGAGATTTTTGATCTTTGAAGATAAAAATTGAGATTTAAACAATCTTTCGAAATGTAATTTTCGATAAACCCTTTTTTTGGGCTTAAGGTTGTTTTGTGCTTTTGTGGAGTAGGATAGAAAAGTTTATTTACATTCAATAAATAACATCTATAATTCATAGACAACCAGTAGACATCATAAAAGAAAACAAACGAAAGTCCATTATAGAACATAATTTCAGAATATAATGTATTGCTATTATTTTATTAATAGAGAAATGCATTCGACATTGGGACTCAATTTCGGCAATCACTATGTTCCTAAATTGTGTCATAATAATATTATTGTTTTTAATATTGGTTTGAAAAGTATGGAACAATCAAATTTAATTGCCATTTAAATAAGTCAAATTACATCTCAATGAAGTCGATTTACCATCTATGCAAAAAATGTTGAGGCCGATCTTAAATCTTTTTAGACCTCAATTTTTAGTAATGTTGATCTTGTTGAATTATAACTTAATTTCGTTAGATCCTCATTTTTCAATTGAAAAATAATTTTTCGATATTATAATTTTTTTCTTTCTTAATTATATATAAATTGAGTAATATTAATTGAATTTAATTTATTTTTAATCGATTCCTATCACCTGATTAATATTAGAATTTAATATTATGTAATGTATATTACTATAATCATAGATAATTCCATCAATGAATTGCATGGATATTGCTGTATTGATGTAACCATAAGTCTGAAGTGACCGTAAAATGATACATTAAAAGCATCATAAAGCATGCACGGCAATTGGAAATGTTAAAAGGATTAATCCCAGCAGCATCCCTTTCTTTCAAGTGAAAATATCATCATTGCCACCTGATGATCAATGTGATTAAATTATGAAAAGCCATATAATAAGGGGGTCGAAAGTACCTCATTGTGGGCCCTTTTCACTCCCCCCCCCCTTTTGCCACGTGCGATATTGCACACAAATAATGTTATTAAAATTTAATATAATTTATTAACATAATAATAATGTATTACATAATGAAAAAAATTATTCTTGTGAATATCTTAGTTTTGACGTTAATGACATGTCTTTAACCAAATTGAGAAGAAAATTAATTGAAATGTGCGTAAATTCATTCAAACATCATTGAGTCATGACCTGTTGAATCAAAAAAATAAAAAATTTTAAAAATTACCATCACGACAATACTAATGAAACACAACACTATCTCATTATTAATTCAAAATTTTAAAATTCAATAACGTTACTCCGTGGTAAAGTACAATTTTTGTGCATGCATCACACCTTTACTCTCTGAGAGAGAGAGAGAGAGAGAGAGAGAGAGAGAGAGAGAGAGAGAGAGAGAGAGAGAGAGAGAGAGNGTTACTCCGTGGTAAAGTACAATTTTTGTGCATGCATCACACCTTTACTCTCTGAGAGAGAGAGAGAGAGAGAGAGAGAGAGAGAGAGAGTTCCTTCCGTAGGCATGAAGTGATTTACCATCAACGCAAAGTCTCCTTTGATATAGTTTTTCTTATTTTTCTAACATCTCTCTCTCTTGGTTTTTTAATTATTAATTCATTCTTCCCCTTGCTTTAATTTGTGTGTGTTGTCTATGTGTGGGTGGTGATGAGGAGGAGGTTGTTGGTGAGAGGATATCATGGCTTAATTCTGAATCACAGTGCTTTTTGTGTTCAGCTCTTTGATGGAAAATTTAAATGTGTCCGCACCATACCAAAATAATCTGCCAGCCGGTCACTCCTGCATATTTTGAATGTTGCAATACTTTTACTCCTACTGTTCCCACAACTCGCGTTATCAATTAAATCATATCGTGTTTAAATTAAATTATATTATTTTATTAAAAGACAGAGTCAAAAAAATTATATAATAAAGTTCAAATTTTAAAAGATAAACAAAATAATTTTTACTTTCCGCGATTGAAATCTATTTAAATGTTACTTTAAAGTTAATCCGACGGTTAATATTAACACCCAAATTTAATAGGAAAAATAAACTTTCAAGGGTGTGTTTTGAGTAATTTTTTAAAAGTACTTCTAAAATTTATAACTTTTCATAAGTATTTGAAAAAAA